TAAAGTAATTTGATATACCTGTTGATCATCAATATCAGAATCTGTTTCATATTCAGTATCTTGTTCATCAATCGATACATTTTCTAATACATATTGATTCCATTGTTGAAATTTCTCCTGTTCATATTTATCATCTTCACACATAAATTGTAATTTAAGTCTTTCAGTATGTAATGATTTAATAGATGATATCATTGATTGTTTACCATTTGATAATATATCGGATTGTTGATTTATCAATATAAATTCTTTATAAATCGGTTTTTTTCGAAGAATTTCACCAATCGTAGTGCCTTTACTATTTTTTCCATCAGAGCATGATCTTTTCAAATAGAAATAACATAATAATTATGATAAACATTCTTTCAATGATCTGTACTCTATGTAAACTAGACTAAATAGTACATCAAATATACTAAAACTCAATTGTGATATTTAATACGAAAAATATTCTGTGTGATTTTTCTCTTCATTTGAATTATCTTATACTATAATGTATCCATTTTTAAATAGCTTTTTTTGTCAAATCTTAATAGAAGTTGATGATTTATTTACCTTAACTGAAATGTCCATCCTTTATTATAATTATTATTTTCTAATGGTTGAATTTGTTTAATCGTTTGAATACATTGAGCAAATATTTGATCAAGTTGATTCATTAATTGTTTAGTATTATCATAAATAGCACGTAAACATGGATCTTGAATAGTATGAAGTTCAATTAAATATCGTCGAAGAATAATTGGTATTTGAAAATTTCGAATTATATTTATTGAAATCATATCTGATAATTGTTGAGAAAATAAATCTCTTAACGATGCAACACATAATGTTATATATGATGATATATCTCTATCAATACATTGATATACAAGTGAATGATACATTTGACGAGGACGAAATAAATCTAAAAGATTTTTTTTTCAATGTTAAATAAAAACAAAAGAAGAGCCATTTTGTAAACATACTTGAAGGATAAATATTTTCTTGATAAATGATTTGATTGATAATAATATCAATAAATTGTAGACATCGTTCAATTACTTCTGGACGTATTTGTTTTTCAAGTAGCCGAGGTTCACCATGTCGTCGTCGACGACGATTATTTACATGAATTTCCATCTGAAAATGCATAATAATTTATTTTTTTTCTTTTTGCATATGTATTTAAGCGCACTTCAATTTATTGTTGATAAAATAAATAAAAACTAATGAAAGACAAAAAAAAACAATTTAAAAGAATTACTCCATTGGACTTGCAGTAGAATCTTGTGGACTATTATTATTATTAGTATGAACGATTTGCCGACCTAGTTAAATAGAAAATAAAATTTTAGATTGATAGGAAATCAATTTATTTACTTTTAGTCATATCTTGATGAACAGTAGCTAATGTATTTGCAATAGTTGAACATTCTCGTTCGATTATTTTTGAATAATTTTCTACATCACCTAATTCCTATTTTCAAAAGAGTATTTTATTTGAATTATTTAATCGAATAGAACAAACTTTAAGTGCATCTGTAAATTGTCCGATCAATGTAGACCATGCTTGTGATTGTTTTATTAGTAGACTTGATTGTGCAGTTAATTGTTTACATGCTTGATCAATACGTTTCTGATTTTTATAACATTCAGAGACACTTTTCAAGAGAATAAAAAAATAAAAAATTTTAGTAAAAGTTAAGATAATTAAAAGAAACCTTACTCATCATTAAGTCCATCGAGCACAAGACGTGTTAATTGTTCGGCTGATGTTAATAATTCTTTCTTTTTCTTTTCTATAAAAGATTAATTATAAATCCAGAAAAATATCTTATGAAATATAAATTACCTTGTTTTTGTTTTAAATCTGCAACATGTTGTGTATGTTGACGATAGATATTGGAAAGCATACCTTACAGAAAAGTAATTTGTAATAAATGTATGAATTTGACTTGAGATTGAGAGATGAGTGAGTCGTTTAACATTCCAATTCGTAATAAGTAGATTAGATGACGCCACATGATGATAAAAATATCAAATCAATGTTTTCAAGTACGATGCTATAAAATTCTTTATGTGCACATTAGTTGAGTGAAATACGTTGAATTGTTATTCAACATATGGAATAGTTTTGTTTTTTTAAATAATTGTTTCTTTATTTAATTCACATATAAATATAAGGTGAAATTACATCAAATAGAAAATATATTTTATTTTAATAATGATATTTAAAACTATATTTGCCGAATAAATCAACTAAATGTAATTTAATTGTGTTTATGTTTTAAAGGTTTGTTACACTGTTGTTAGCTGATCGATATGTATGTAGAAGTTTTTTCCAGAGTGATACTGGTATATGTAAATATTCAAGATGAATCTCTGTTACTGTTAAACATTCTTGTTTTCTTGTACAAACAGTGACGTCTTTCACCAACTTCTTCACAATAAAAAGATTTCCAGGCATAAAAAGTACTTCTTCTTCATGTGGATATTCAGAAACATCTGCAATACCGACGATAGTAGGAGATTTGACCTCAGTTTTAATAATATATAAAACACGTATTTGATGGCTTTCAAGTGGCGAAGCACGAAGTAAGAAGTTAAGAGCAACGTCTTTGTCTTCGCTTGTGGATGTAAATGCTCTGAAGGTAATAACACCGCGTGGCTTATTTTCAAGTGCTTTTTCATATAATAATAATTGACTTGAATCCATCGTTGCACCACGATAAACAGTACCGAGAAAGCAACGTTCTGCAAGTTCATCACTACGAAGATGAAATTCTATAATAAATCGATCACACAAATGAGGACTGGTATCATTCTCCTGTGGTGAATCAACTAACTGTCGATTAAGTGACTTATAGAAGCCAATTTCTTCATTTGAATATATTCTGAGAAGAGATTCAATTGAATTTTTTCGACGAAATTCGTCTAATTCATCGAGTGCTGTTTCGTGTTTACCATGTAATTTCAGTCTTAGAAATTCTTTAAAATCATTGTTTTCATGAAGTTTAAATGTTTCGAGATTCAAATTGTCATTCTGAACCAAACTAGGAAATGTACGGGAAAACCAGTTAAATAATCTTAACCACATAGCTGTTGTTTGGAAATCGAGTGAGTGTTGGTGGACATCTTCTTCTGTTTTAAAAGATGCAAGATATTCTAACGATGGTTTATTTTTATTATCCTCAGGGAAGCAATGAGCTACCGATTTGTCTGTCTCCGGATTATGAAAATAATCTGAAGTTTCAGAGCGAATAAACAGTTTTTGCATTTCAGGTGTAGCTGCATACTTATAAGCTATCTTGCCGTAACAGTTGAGTATCGTACGAGAACATCTGTGCTCGAGCAAGAGTCGAACAATGTCAACATGGCCTTTTTTAGTCGCTATATGAAGTGCTGTACTACCATTCGGTTCGAGTTTGACGAGATCATCAATAGTCTTCCGAGTCGAACCTTCGAGTATTTTACGTACTTTTTCGGTTTCACCTTTTTCACAAAGTGAATACAAGTCAGAAGGTTGCTTATCGGTACCATGAATTGATTTCGCCTTTTTCAATTTAGCTTCGAGAAGTTTACGATATGGACAACGTGGTTTCTTGTTTACACTTCCTGCACTTCCCATTGTACTTAATTATATCTGAAGATAGAAATATTCAAAACAACAATAGGATTTTATTAATTCAATTTTTAAGTTTTCGCTCAACAAACTTATTTAAACATGTGAAAAACAACTTGGTAAGTATATTTATTGCCAGAAAAAAATGAAACATAAATATTAGTTTGTCTTACATTTTATTGAGGAATTTCAACGACAAAATCATAAAAAATAGGAATACAAAGTTCAAATACTAATTAGTCCATTAATCTAATATTTGTTAATGACATGAATTTTACCTGATAATTTGCATGTTTATCAAAAAAAGATAAAATACTATTAGCTGTCTCTTCGGGTTTGTCAAGAGCCATAAAGTGACCACAATCATCAAAAAGAACGCATTCTGCTTTGGGTAGTAAATTGCAAAAGAATTCAGCACCGCTAAAAGCATATACCTAAATAAAAGATAATTTTATTTTCATACTATTTTATTTTATTAATTTTTACTTGATCTTGACGACCCCATAGGATTAATGCTGGACGATCTAACTGTCGCAACTTTAGATAATTAGTTTCAATGTGTGGATAATCGTGCTCAAGAAGTGAAGCAAGTACTAATAAATAAATTATTTCAATTTGAAAAATATCTATTATGTAATACCTTTTTTGTGTTCGTTTAATAGTCTTAATCTCAAATTCAAGAACCCATTCAGAAATGGTTTGGGCATGTTTATTCTTTTCACTGTTAAAGTACTGATCATTTGACGAAGTTGCTCTGGTGTTTCAGGCAAAAGAGCACTGTATACACCTTTACGTAATTCTCGGATCAAATCAGTTTCACATTCCTCATTTGCTATTATAATAAAAAAAACATATTAATAAAACAAAAGTAATAATCTACATTCATTGAATATTATGATATTTACCTACTGGAGCTAATAAACATATCATGTGGATATATTCAGGGTATTTAATGGCAAACATACATACGATCGCGCCACCCATAGACGCACCAATAATACACATTGGTTCGGTCAAATTCAATGTGTCAAAGAACTAATAAAAATGATGTCATATATAAAACAAAAATATTGTTATTCTCAAAGCTAAAAGAGTTTTGTCTTCGCTCTTAATCGGAATTAATTCGTGAAAAAGTACTAACTCGACCTCATAAATCAAGACTACATAATATGAATAAAAACTGTACCAGTTTAAGTTTCTCTACGAATTTGTCAATTGAATAGATATCTTCATTAAAACCGACTGTCTCTCCATGGCCAGGCAAATCAACAGTGATGCAATGATAACTGGCTGGAATATTCTATGTATAAAAATATGTAATACATATAGATGCTCATAAAATCCTATATTAACTAACTTTAACAATTGGTATCCATGTTTCTTTATTAGAAGAAAGGCCATGAACAAAAACAATAGTTGGTTTGTCTTTATTTCTGGAGCCTTTCTCAGTATAACTGAATGCAGCAGATTCATTTTGATTTACTGGCAATGAATGTTTTGTTAGACCAGCTCGATATGATGTGAATCTATATTATTGAATTAATTAACATGTTTGCAAAATATAATTCACTTACTTATAATACAACTGAACAAGCCATGCCTGCCTATACAGTTGTCCAAAATGTATAAAAATATAATATCATTGTTCGAAAAAAAAAGAAAAAAAAGACTTACATAATGAGAAACACTGCTCACCGATTCAGCAATACTTTTAAAATGCGTCAATAAAGACGACAGTAATATACTTAAGTAGAGAAAGAGGAATATATCAAATGGCTGAACAAATAAACATACATCTTTCGCGGAACGTATTGTATAATGGTAGCTGCGAGAGATGTATTTATTTTCAGCGAAACGGACAAAAAAAACACTTTCATTTATTGCTTTCTATGCCATTTTGACGTCACCAGTTGTGTATGTGTATCTGTTGTTTTGTTTTGCCTTGCCAGCTTTACAGTGTGCATGTGTTTCGTTGTAATGAAAATGCGACGCAATTATGCGTCGCTACGATAAAATTACTCCAGTTGTGCACAATTACAACAAATAAATTTCACGCTTTCAAAGTTCTATCGATTAACGTTCATAACAAGAGAATATTTTGTCAGATATATATCTTCTCTCTCTCTCTCTTTATTCAATGATTTTATTATATCTATCATGAATATTTATAGTTTTCGATACAACAAACATTTACAGAACATATAATTCATATGACTATGATATAAAATCATACTTTAATAATGATGTCTTTTTTTTATACGTCCACACCTTTACATCAAGGAGTGAGTGGATTTTGATTTTGATTTCTGCTTGTCCGACATCGACACTCTCAAAAAAGCATTATAATGGTAGATGAATTTTGTACCATCCGAGAATATTTCTAAAAGACATACAAAGAAAGAAAAGCAAAATAATCTCGATGAGAAAGAAAAATGATACAGTTGACTAAACAAAGACACGTCTTTCTCCGAAAGGTGTTGTTGTTGTTGTTGCAAAAGTCGCACTATGGTAGATGGAGAAATAAATAAGAGAACATTTTTTTTTCTTTTTATACTATTTTAACGTCTTCAATAGTTTATATCAGACATTCAATAGACGACATTGTGACAATATGACTTCTCATATAGTAAGCCTTTGTAATTTTTAACTTCATCAAATTAGATCTAATTTAAAATTAAGTTAAATGAGAATGCGTACGATCATTCGATCACGAGTCTAACTATTTTGAGTGAATTAACAAAAAAAGACACAGAAGTAAAATTAGATGATGAATTTGTAGTTTTAACGAAAAGAATTCTAGATAGATTGTAATATATTTTTCAAAATTTAGAAGACAACAAAGATTTTTAGAAAAATGATGACTATAATTAAAAAACTTAGACTCAACTCGAAGTAACTTGATCTACAGATACTTTCATACGGGATTATTTTCGTTCGAGACTGCTGGAATGGATAGATTAATACTTAACTTTAAACTTCATTATCAAATAAGAAATAATACTCAAATATTTAGACTAATGATTACGTTCGATAAGATATTTAAATATGATTGTCTCACTCAGACTGCTTACTGAATCAGACATTTGATTCAAAAAAAATCTACTTAATTCGATAGATTTTACTAAGAGTGTCTTTATAGTTTACTGATCTTAGATTTTATCAGAATATATACATTTATTTTTTTTAGTTACAAAGAGACGAAGCTACTACGACCACTGCTGTTGAGACAAATAATCAATCAGAAAAAACTTTTGAACTTTTATCACCGTATGATCAAATTCGTTTGGTTGGACGGTATTGGCCAGGTCCTGCAGCGAGTGAATCCAAAGTTGTTATGCTGTTTCTACACGGCTCTGGTGAACATTGTCAACGATACAGACATGTAGCTAAATTTTTCAATAATTATCAAATTCCATGTGTTTCTTATGATTCACGTGGTCATGGATTATCGGGCGGCGAACGTGGCTTTATATTTCATATTAATGCTTTGATAGAGGATCTCGAATATATCATCAAACATATTCGAGATAAACTTCTTCTTAAGATGCCATTAGTAATTTATGCACATGGTACTGGATGTGTGAATTGTCTTAGTCATATTCTTCGACGAAAAGATCAACCACTTGATTGTCAAGGCATGATATTGAGTACGCCTTCAGTATGTCTTAAAAAGCGTCCCACAGGCATAGTATTTGTCATCGCACGAGCTTTTGCAAATTTAAGCCCTCATTTTCGACTTCCCATCGCTGGAAATTACACGAATAAGTACACAAATGATGAAGAAGTAGTCGAGGCCTATCGTAAAGATCCACTTGTTCATGATCGATGGCCTGCACGTACAATTTCTTTATATCTTGAAGTGGGTTTATTATTAGAAACAACTGTTATTAAATTTCCAATGCCGTTACTGGTTCAACATGGTATTGATGACACGGTTACACCAATCGAAACTATCAAAAAATGGTTCGATGAGCGAATCGAAGGAGAAGATGCAGACTTCAAAGCATGGCCAAATCATATACATGAGTTACACAACGATTTGGGTAAAGAAGATGTTTTGAAACATCTTATAGATTGGATTGAAATGCACGTGATTGACAAGACGAACAAGAGAAGAAAAATTAAAGAAACAAAATAAAAAAAACAATGATATAACTGTCAGAAATAATTTTGTTGTAATATTCTATTTGTGATTTTCAGTTCTTTCCTAGTTGACTCATGTAGCAACATTATATACAATGGAAGCAAGTATTTCTGTTGAATATTACGGTGAAAATATTGATTAATAACTGTTTCTATAAAATGAATAATCACAATGAGATAAAAGAAAAAATAGGCGAATATTTTATAATATTATTTTCTCAGTGAAAAGAACAAACTATGAAGAGATAGAAATAAGTATTAGAAATGAAAATATATAAATTAATTTTTTATATGAATATCTCATTTCATTCTCACAATAGTGGTTTTAATCTCGATAAATAAGGATTCATTTCACATCTGGAGCGGTTCTGTTCTTGTTTTTATATTATTCGTATCAGAAAGACGATTATAATCGATCGAATGTACTCTTTCTAAATACGATTTTTGTTAACGAATATTTGATTAATGCAAGAGAAAGTCATGGATATTATCGTTGATACACGTTCATCACTAATATTAACAAGGTATATGTGTTTTTTTCGATTATAAATAAATAATGATTTATTTCAAGATATATACTACATCAAAGTTGCAGAATATTGATGAGTATGTTTTATAATTTATTCGCTACTAGTACTTTAATTAACGTGTTTCTGATTGTGTTGCTTATCGCACATTGCTCAGCAAAAGAAACAAATGATTTCAATCGAGGTAAATCTGTGTTTAGGATCTCTGCAAAGTTTGTCTTGGTCTCGTTTCAGATCCCAAATCTTACATCATTATCTACAGAAGCAATATGAATGATACGAGTTTATTAAGAATTGTTGATTTAAATATACTTGCTACTAGTGTTTGTATATATGTAATATATTTTAATCGATCATTGTTTCTTATTTTTTTTTGTACAGCTCAATAACCATCTAGATATAGTTAATATAAATGTGAATACCGGTCAATTTGTACCATTAGTTATGGTGAAAGATAAGATTAAACGGGAAATACTAACAGAGTAAAAATAAAAATATAATTTTTTTAAATTATTGTACTCTTGTTAGTTATAGTTTGAACTTGTGTAAATATAAAAATATAGAAACCATGGATGATATTTTCATTCTTGATCTCTCAAGTAAATATCCATTAAATTACACTACATTGATGTCTCAACAACATTTGTTTGATAAGCTAAAAATTAGTAATAAGTCTGCAGATGAACAGTTTACTCTTCCTATACAATTCACTAATGGACAAACACTTGATGTGAAAATGAACTTTTGCTCATTCCATCAAATTGTATCACCAAGTATGTATAATCCTGAAACATTTGATACCATAGTAATATATATATATATAATATGAATCTTTCAGTAACAATTGATACAGTTAGTATTCCGAAACAAAATTGGACTGAGAACACAATCTTTAACTACACAAATAGCATTACATATGGTTCATGTCAAGGTAAGAACGTTTATGTTAATTATATTTTTTCCAAAACAATCAACTCCAATTGTTTTCTATGTTGTTTATATATTTAGGTGGTCTTTATCCTAATGATAATAAATGTGTTGCTTACCAATATGGACCTGATCCTATTCAAGTTATTGATTGTCATCTACCAAAAGGCCCTTATGTTTCTCTTGTAGTACTTCTTGTACATGGTGGTTATTGGAGTGCTAAGCACAATCGTTCGATAGAAAATGATGTAGCCAATGATCTTCTCCGTTTTAATATTGTTGTCTGTAATTTGGATTATCGTTCTGTTGGAAATAATGGAGGTTATCCGAACACATTCTATGATGTATCCAATGGTACTGATCTTCTTCGAACTATTGCTCAGGAACATGGTTTCAACAGTGATCGAGTGATAATTGTTGGTCATTCAGCTGGTGGACAGTTAGGTGGTTATCTTACTGGACGCTTCCGATTATTGCCAGATCAACCTGGCTATAGTATAAATCCTCTTCGTCCCATAGCTTTTGTTAGTCAAGCAGGTGTCAATAATATGTGGGACGGATGTGATCAAGCTTCAGAAACAGGATCCGGTGCAGTCATTTCATTTCTTGGTGGAACATATGAAATATATCCAAAACGATATGTACTTTCCTCTATGGCAGCGTCAAGCAAATTTTCAATCAAGTTTGTATAGTTCTAATTCAGCATTTTACTACAAAAAAAAATCTATCTTCCAAAATCAGATTATGAATTAAACAGGATTCTTGAAAATATTTTATTCTATTTAGAGTAAAATATCCAAGTCAATTTCTGCCATTGGAAGTGCCAATACAAGCTATTACTGGATCAGTAGATATCACAGTACCTATTAGTCAAACAATAAATTTTGTTGAACAAGCAAAAATTGCTGGTGATAATTGTACTCAAGTAATTGTTGATGGCGAAGATCATTTTGTCCATCTCAATGCTTCTTCAAAATCTTGGCATAGCACACTTACTTTCATCTTATCTTTTATTCCTTGAATAAGAAATAAATCTTAATATATGAGAAGAAATTATAAAAATACTCCCATATAGATTTATCAATGTTTGTCAATTTTACTTCTACAGTCGTCGAATATTCGATTTATCTTTAATTTATAAAAACTATTATTTGTGTTGACGATATATTTTAATGTAAATAAAACAAATATCTTTGGCACAAAAAATGACTACATTCCGGACTTTTTTTCTACTATTCATCTGAAGAATCAAGACAAACAGTTTTAACTAAAATATTCGTTACAGCATATGGATCACAATTCGCAGCTGGACGTCTATCTTCGAAATATCCACATTGTTCTTCATCAACTTGACGTGGAATACGAATACTAACATTTCTTGATGCTGTAGCAGAAGTAAATGATTTGTATGAAGCTGTTTCATGTTTTCCTGTCAGACGACGAGTATTATCTAAACCTTGACTTGGATCATAATATTTTATATGTATTTCTTGTCGATGAGAAAGTTTTTCTATAGCTTTACGAATTTCTCTAAAATGAAGATAAAAACATTATTACGAGATAAAGTAACATGTATTAGAAATAATTCTCTAAACAACTTGTTCTATATATTTAAAAACTTACTTAATTCCTCCTGGTTTTCTCATATTTTCGACTGAAAAATTTGCATGACAACCAGCTCCATTCCAATCACCACATTCCATGGGTTTTGGGTCAAAACTAACTTGTACACCGTATTCTTCACCAATTCTTTGTAGAATATATCGACTGATCCATAATTGATCACTTGCAGCAATTCCTTCTGTTGGACCAATTTGATATTCCCATTGACTAGCCATAACTTCAGCATTCGTACCGGAAAGATCTAAACCAGAATATAGACAAGCACGATAATGAGCTTCGACAATATCACGAGCATATGCTTGACATGCACCAACACCACAATAATAAGGTCCTATAAATAAAATCAAATTGATGAATTAGATATTGAACAGCATAGAGAAAGACAACAACTTGTTATGGTATTAAAATAAAATATTGCACATTATATTATTTGAAAAATCTATTTACCTTGAGGACTTGGAAAAGCATTTTTTGGCCATCCAAAAGGCCATCCATCTCTATCTAATAAAGTATATTCTTGTTCTAAACCAAATAATGGTTTTTGATCAGCTATTAATTCCATAGTTTTCTTACAATCAGCTCTCGAATTTGTTTCTGAAACGAAATTTTCCCCAGTAAAAGATTTATAAAAAGAAAATAAATATTTTATAACATACTAGTTGGTTTTTTATTTGCATCATATGTTTCACATAATACAAGTTTATTATCTGCTCCTAATATAAATGGATCTTTAAAAATAGCAGCTGGTTTCAAATAAACATCTGAGTTTTCACCAACAGCTTGATCTGTTGAACTTCCATCAAACATCCACCATGATAATTCTTCAACATTATCTGGTACTTTAGACATTGTTTTTGTTTTCGATCGTAATTGTTCACCTGTACCATCAATCCAAATATATGTTGCTAAAATTTTATTTGATGGTTGTGGAAGATTTAAATATTTCTGTGTAATTAATTGATCTAATTGACGTATATCATTTGTCGATCTAATTCTGAATAGAGTTCGTCGATGTAATAAAACAGATGAAGAAGAACCTAATAGCTAAATAAAGAAGAAAAGGTACATGATAAAATATAATATTCTGATTTATACTGTTTTCTGTACGATTCGATGTGTATAATGAAATAATATCATATTGTTCTATTGATATTCGAAAAATTAAATAAATAGAATAAGAAGAGAAACATAATGCTTTTATATGATTTTATATACATATGATAATCTTATCTTAGTCATTTAGTTTTTTTCAAACTACTTGATGTCAATTTATGTCGAGATAAGATATCTATATGTTTTCTTTGTACTCGCAGATATTCATATATGTACTGAACACAACATAATACACGAATGATATTAAACTTCTGATGATACAGATAACATGTCAAATATGAATTTTGTTTTCACTCTAAGTGATCATATGATTAAGTTTCTTTTATTCAATTATTAATAGATACTAGAAAAATGATATTTCTATGCTTAAAATGAATCTCAGTCGATAAATATATTGTTCAAAAATTAAAAGATAGTCTTATACGTTTACACTTAGTTCAAGATGAATGCTATGTTATTGTAACAAACATAATTATCGTGAATTTTTAGATTTAATGTAGTGTAAAAACATATAACGATTACAAAATAATTTTCATAACCTACTCAAATTATCTTACATTTTTTAACCAATGCAATGTCTTTCAAATATTAAGTAATCTTATTGAATAGGATTTATCATAATCAACCAATACAATATCATAATAGTATGGATTTCCAGTATAGAAAACTGTCATCGTATTGTAAATGATAGAGTTTATATATGTCTATAATGTTCTATTGATCATAATTTCATAAAAATATATTCAAGTAGATTGTTAACACTAATAGAACTTCATGACAAACATTTTATCTTGAATGATATCACTTGTCCAAAGACTTTACAACTCGTCAATCATTAATATTTTGTATTAAATAATTCATTAATCTCAAGGTTACCTTGATTTACAGATTACCTTCATAATTTTTAGAAAATTGCTAGTCTAATGGACTTAATGCGAATTTTTCATAGATATATTAGGTAGAGTATGTAGATAGAATACTTCTAAAAATTCTTTTCGTAATGAGTAAAATTTTGTTGAAGTTTGAAAATCATTGCTTGGATTTCAACTGATTTAATACAACTATAGAATTGATCTTTACTATTAGATAGATTCATGGATTTTTATAAAGGTACTTTTCAGCAAGCGAATAACATGATGAGTATGTATATTGTAGAGGTCAGTCACACAAACAAATCATATCAGTTATGACCGGAAAAAGCGGTCACTTTGACATTGGTTTTGTTCGTTCTCAAAAGTGAAAAGATAAAAAGAAATAAGTTAAAATGAAGTTTACATTAAAAAAGCCATTTTATATCTATTGTGTCCTTTTAAAGAGGATATATAATTAACGATTTTCATATTTTTGATTATTTCTAATTCGACAAACCTTTTAGAATATTGAGAATGAATAGACGACTAATGCAAAAAAATGCTAGTCAGTAAAAACAATGCCATCATCCGTCCTTTATAGTCTAATATTATAACCTCAATATTCATTCGTCATTATTTTCACAAAGACAATAAGGAAACTTAGACATATATATATCAATTAACATGAATAAATCGAATAGTAACATAATCATGAATAATTCATATGATAATTATCCAAGTATCTTCAATTTACCCAATGAAATA